CATTTGTATTTTCCATAAATACTTTGCTTTCATACCTTAGACATACCTGGGAAGTCCTTCCAGGGGGGTTACCTTTCTCATTATTTCCTACTCTTCTTTGGGTCTTTTCTTTGGCTTCACTTTTCTGGGAGTCCTTTCCTTCTGATTTATTTGGCCCTCCTGTGTGGTCTCTTAGTAGCCTCTGCATATTCTATAGCATTTATCACACTATCATTGCCACTGTCAGTGTCTCCTACTATATTGATACTATTTGGGAGCAGAGATGATTTATCATCTTCTTTCCCCAGAGCCTGGCACATAGTAGACTCTCAATGAATATTTGTTGAAAGAGTAGTTGAGTGTTTATAGGAAAACTAGGGTGGATGTTGCAGGGATGATGGATTTTAATTCAGCTTAAGGAGAAACATATTTACATGAACCACCTAACAGTGGAAAGGCAAAGCAATTCTAGTAGTAGTAGTGTGGTGTGGTGGTGAAGAGCTAGGACTCTGGAGTCCAACAGACATAGGTTTTATTTATTTATTTATTTTTAAAGTCTTTTATTGAATTTGTTGCAATATTGCTTCTGTTTTATGTTTTGGTTCTTTGGCTGTGAAGCATGTGGGATCTTAGCTTCTGGACCAGGGATTGAACCTGCACCCCCTGCATTGGAAGGCAAAATCTCAACCACTGGACCGTCAGGGAAGTCCCAGACATAGGTTTTAATACTGGCTACCCTAAGCTGCAGCTTCCTCAACTGTACATGTGCTGGAACTATACCTGATATTTAGTAAATGCTCAGTAAATATTAGCTGTTATTATGAGAGAAACCACCCTATAATCCTGTGTGACTGGGGGGACTGGAAGTTTGATGGCCCAGCTCCCCATACCCTCCTTCTCCCCCTGGATTATTTTGAAGCAAATCCAGGTAATTTTATTTCATCTATAAATACTTTCGTGTGTATCTCTAAAAGGTAAGAATTTTTTTTTAATGTAACCATTATACCATTATCTCTAAAAATGGACAGAAATTCATAATAATATCAGTAATATCCAGTGTTCAAGTTCCCTTTATTGTCTTATAATATGATTTTACAGTTGACTAATTCAAATAAGAATTCAAACAAGGTCCATATATTATATTTCATTATGTCTCTTAAGTCTCTTTATAAATTTCCTCTTTTTTTCCACTTTTATTTATTGAAAAAACCAGGTGGTTTATCCTGTAAGAGTTTCCCAAGGTCTAGATTTTGCTGTTTTTGTCCATATGGTATTATTATTATTAGTTTTAGTTTTTGGTACACGGGCCTCTCACTGCTGTGGCCTCTCCTGTTGCGGAGCACAGCCTCCGGACGCGCAGGCTCAGCGGCCATGGCTCACGGGCCCAGCTGCTCCGCGGCATGTGGGATCTTCCTGGACCAGGACACGAACCTATGTCCCCTGCATCGGCAGGCGGACTCTCAACCACTGCGCCACCAGGGAAGCCCCATATGGTATTATTTTTAATATGTTCCTCTAGGCTCTGTATTTCCTGTAAACTGATGAAGGCGTTATTTTTAGTATGTTCCTCTAGCCTCTTTCCTATAAACTGATAAAGACCTAAAGGCTTGATTGGATTGGGATCTTTTTTTTTCTTACTAGGGGGGCAAGAATGATTCATGGATGGTGGCAGTGTTCATTTCCTGTTTTACCACATAATTCTCATAATGTCTGATTTTCTCCCTTTTTGTGATAATAATGTCATCAGTGAGTTCAGGTACTGTCATTCTGATCCATTAATTATAAAGTACCCCAGGTTTTACCTTAGGGTTTTAATAGTTATTAATAAGTGTAGCCTAGACTCATTATTTCATTAGGATTGCAAAGTTATATTTATTAAATGGGATTCTTTTAAAAGAAGGATTTTTCCTCATAAACTATTTAGTTCTTTAATGTATAGGAAAGTCAGGGTAAATACTGGATTCTTTCCTTTATTTTACCAGTTTTCAAAATAGTGAATTTGTTCCATAGCACTGATCAAAAGGGACCAGTGAGAGGCTTCCCTGGTGGCGCAGTGGTTGAGAGTCCGCCTGCCGATCCAGGGCACACGGGTTCGTGCCCTGGTCCGGACAGATCCCACATGCCGTGGAGCGGCTGGGCCCGTGAGCCATGGCCGCTGAGCCTGTGTGTCCGGAGCCTGTGCTCCGCAACGGGAGAGGCCACAACAGTGAGAGGCCCACATACCGCAAAAAAAAAAAAAAAAAAAGGGACCAGTGAGATTTTTTTGTTTTGTCTTATTTTTAGTATAATCATGAACTCATGGGTTTAGAATTATTTTTTGTTCTTTAGAGGTATTATCCTTTTTGATGTTCAGATTGTCCCATTTTTGGTTAGTGGGAGTCCTTTTGATACCACTCCAGTAGTCTTTGATAGCTTTCTTGCTTCCTGGTAAAACAAGATGTTGCAAGGACTTTTTGTACATTACTGCCCCGGGCTTGGAATCAGCCATTTCTCCGAGGAGTCCTTGTTCTTTTTTCATAGGAAATGGTATTACTCTGGGTACAAGGGGTACTCATTGCTCCTGAGTTGGTTGCTGTTGTTATGCCTTTTCAGTGGATAAAGGTAGACATCTTTTTAAATAAAAAAAATTTCCTGGGCTTCCCTGGTGGCGCAGTGGTTGAGAGTCCGCCTGCCGATGCAGGGGATGCGGGTTCGTGCCCCGGTCCGGGAAGATCCCACATGCGCGGACCGCTGGGCCCGTGAGCCATGGCCTCTGAGCCTGCAAGTCCGGAGCCTGTTCTCCGCAACGGGAGAGGCCACAACAGTGAGAGGCCCGCGTACCGCCAAAAAAAAAAAAAATTCCTGATATTTCTGATTCAAATTTAGGACTTCAGAGTTTTAAATTCCTTGATTTTGTATTTGTATCTCTTTTCTCATATGTTGAAAATCTTAGTTCTGAATGATATTAATGTAATTTGTTTTATCTTTTATAATAGTTTCAGAATAGCAGTATCAACATTACTTACTAATATGATTACTGAAAATTGTGTATGATTTTTTTAACTTCCTTTGACCTTAGAGTATATTCCACTAGGGATATATACAGTTTTATTACTATGTTTTAAAATCATTTGAAATAGTTTTTTTTGATGTTGGTTAAAACTACCATGTTAGTACACAGCTAGATTCATTTGTTTTATTTTTAGATATTCTTTTTTAAAAGCTAATTTTGTTTTATCATTTACTTGGTTCCAAGTTCAAATTCAAATCTACAAAGCAGGGTACACTTGGAAAAGTACAGCTTTTATGCCTGTCTCCTCTTCCTGTTCTCGCCCTTTCCTAAAAGTAACGTTTTTTTTTTTTTTTAATTAGTTTTTGGTGTATCCTTCCATTTCTAAAATATAAGTACATATGAAAAAGTATATATATAATTATATATATATAAATAAATTTGTATTTTCTCCTTTCTTAGATAAAAAGTAGCTTACTACTTTTACTTGTCTTATTTTCAACACTTTTTTTATTGAGTGTGAGAGTAAAATTTTTCAGTTTAATGAATGAGGTGGGGGGTTTTTGTATTTTATGATGAAATTATATGGTATATTGGTGCTTGTGTTTGGGAATTTTTTGAAGTTCTGGGAAAGTATTAGTCATGATTATCAAAGTACTATTGTAGGAAAGAAAAAAATTGGGAAGAGAGAGTGGATTCAGATTGTAGAAGACCTTGATTTTCCGGATAACAAGTTTGGAATTTATTCTGTAGACAGTGGGAAATCAGTAAAGGTTTATAAGATTTCTTTATACTTTTCAAGTGAAAAACTTGAGTGGTACACTTTTTAGTTTTCATGTAAATTTTTTATATAATTGTGAAGTTGCATGAAATATTTTTTACTGATGGAGAAACTGAAGCATACATGTTATTACTAACAGCTGACTGGTAACAGATGTTTATTTGTACTCTATGCCAGTTACATAGCACACTACTAAATACTTTATGTGGATTGTCTGACTTAATCCTCACAGCAACCTGGAGAAGGGAGGGAATATTATTATTCCCATTCTCATCCCATTAGAGGAGAAATTTAAGGCTTAGAGAAATGTAATGCATTATCCTGGATTGGATCTTGGGCCTATCCAGAACATTATTAGGATAATCAGTGAACTTTGATTGGGGTCAGTTGTTTAGATGGTAATAGTGATCAGTGTTAACATCCTGATTTTGGTGATGGTTTACTTAGGATATATACACTGAGATAGTAAGGGGTAATGGGCATCATGCTTAAAACCTATTCTCAAATGGTTTGAAAATGTTAACAGTTTCATAATCTGGGTGAAATATGTACAGGAGCTCTGCAACTCTTATGTAAATTTGAAATTATTTCAGAATAAAAGAAAAAAAACACAGACTCATCCAAAGTCAGAGCCAGTATGAGGCAGAACAGAACAGTTAGTTGAACTACACACATGTGTCTCTATCTTTACTGCCTCTTCTCCTTATTCTAACCAAAGTCACATATGATAGCAAAGTTAAAAATATCAAGCAGGGCTTCCCTGGTGGCGCAGTGGTTGAGAGTCCGCCTGCCGATGCAGGGGACACGGGTTCGTGCCCCGGTCTGGGAAGATCCAACATGCCGCGGAGCGGCTGGGCCCGTGAGCCATGGCCGCTGAGCCTGCACGTCTGGAGCCTGTGCTCCGCACGGGAGAGGCCACAGCAGTGAGAGGCCCGCGTATCACAAAAAAAAAAAAAAAAAAATCAAGCAAATTTTTATTCATTCCTCATTGTTAAATATTTATTAATTACTCACTGTAACAGTGTTAGCCATCACTTTCAAGTTTATTCTGAATCAGATTGTTTGCCTTTTGTAGTGTTTATTGTCTGAGATCACTTAATAAATTTTAAATGTAGTTTCTTTCCTTTGCTGTCTCTTTTCGTTGTAAGTTTATAGTTTATAATGGACTGTTAAACACATTTTATAAATATACATCTTAATTTAATTTTAAATGTCACTATCTCAAAATAATTTCCTGCTTTTTTAACATAGGTTATCCTATGATGAGGCATTTGCTATGGCTAATGACCCCTTGGAAGGCTTCCATGAAGTAAACCTCGCTTCACCTACTTCTCCAGACCTTCTTGGTGTGTATGAACCAGGAACTCAAGAGCAGACTACCTCACCAAGTGTCATCTACAGGCCACATCCTTCAGCTTTATGCTCCGCCCCTATCCAGGCTAATGCCTTAGATGTTTCCGACCTTCCAACACAACCTGTGTATTCATCCCCCAGACGTTTAAATTGTGCAGAAATATCTAGTGTCAGGTAGGAGATCATCAAAATGCTTGTTTTAGAGTATTGTATTAAACAAACGAAGTTTGCTTGGTTAACTTATTTTAAGTTTTATTGTTTTAGAAAATTTGAATAATACAAGGTTGTTCATGAAGAGCAATACATGTTAATGCTCAAGAGCAGGGGTCACAAACTTTTTATGTAAAGTGCCAAATAGTAAATATTTTAGGCTTTGTGGGCTACACAGTCTCTGTTGCATCTGTTGGACTCTGCTGTTAAAGTGTGCAAGCAGCCGTAGACAGTATGTAAATGAATACGCTCCAATAAGACTTTATATATAGACACTGAATTTTGAATTTTATATAATTTTCTTGTGCCACAAAATATTATTGTTTTTTTTCAACCATTGAAAATGTAAAAATCATTCTTGGCTTGTAGGCCTTAAAAAACAGGTGGCAGGCTGGATTTATCCTGCATTTAGTTTGCAGACCCCTGTTCTAGAGTAGCACTATCCAATAGAACTTTCTGGGATGATGAAAATGTTCTGTTTCTGTGCTGTTTGATATATTAGCCATTAGACATATGTGGCTATGAAGGACTTGAAATGTGGTTGCTTTGGCTCAGGACATGCTATTAATTAGATATAGTGGTGAACAGATTGGATAATGCAGTTATAGACGTGTGTTTATGCCAGTTATATTTAAGCACATGCTGATGTTTCTTGAACTCTCCTTTACAGCATCCATGTTACAGACCCAGCACCTTGTTCTACCTGTGGAGTCACAGCTGGGTTAACTAAATTAACTACAAGAAAGGACAACTGTAATGCAGAGAGGGAGTTTTTACAGGGTGCTACCATAACAGAGGCCTGTGATGGCAGTGATGATATTTTTGGGTTGAGTACTGATAGTCTGTCCCGCTTACGAAGCCCATCTGTTTTGGAAGTTAGAGAAAAGGGCTATGAAAGATTAAAAGAAGAACTTGCAAAAGCTCAGAGGGTAAGCAAAAAGATATTTTATTCTTCCATATGTTATATTCAAAATTAATATTTATCCATGGCGGGGGCAACTCAAGTGAAATCATTACAGTTCTACACTTATCTTTTGCATATGCACAGTCTCAGCTCCTGTTGGGCAGCATTTAGGAATCTGTGAAATTGAGTAGTAAAGAAGCTCATCTAAGAGTACAAACTAGAAAAAAGAGATTCTTAAATTCTTTTTGTGCCCCCCCCCCCACATTGCCTGTTCCCTGTCTTGCATTATCTGTAATGCAGGTTTGGTGAGTTATGTTCCATGTGTGGGTTTTTTCCTCTCTGTATGTAATTGACTTTGTGATTATTTACTTGAAGCCATTCAGTCCAAGTCATGTTTTGAGGAACTGTTTTAGTAATGGTGCCTTGCCATTCAGCTGGGTATGAATATTTTCTGTACCTTACCTTGGAGAATTTTCTTCTCCTAGTAATTTGTTCTGTTTCTCACTTGGTCATCTTTTAAATTTCTGTTTATTCCAAAATTTGTGACTATATCTCATTCTTTTTCTGCATCTGTAATTAAATTTTTAAAGGGAAATATACAGCACTAAATATTCATACATTAGAAAAAAGGAAAAGTTTCAAATCAACAATCTAGTCTCCCACTTAAAGAAACTAGAAGAACAGCAAAATAAAACCAGGAGCAAGCAGAAGGAAGGAAATAGTAAAGAGCAGAAATCAATGAAATTGACAACAGAAAAGACAGAGAAAATGAATGAAACAAAGTGCTGGTTCTTTAAAAAGATCAGTAAAATTGACAGACCTCTAATAAGACTGATAAAAAAGAACAGAAGACACATTATCAATAGCAGGAATGAAACAGAGGGTATCGCTACAGACCCTGCAGACATGGAAAGTATAATAAAGGAATAATACAAACAACTCTATGTATAGAAATTTCACAACTTAGGTGAAATGGACCAGTGCACATTTAGAAAATTGAAGCAATAGGGAAAACATTCTATGACATGATTTCCAGCATATTATGACATTTTACAAACATATATTCCCATCTTCTCCCCACCAGACTTTTCTCTCAAGAGCATAACATTGATTTTTGTATCGCCAGTGCCTAGAATAATACAGAACAATGCCTGGCATATATGTCTCTTTATAATGCTTCAATGAATGGCTAATGGTTAAACATCCATGAAGATATGCTAAAACATTTTTGGTTGAATGTATATTTATCAGAAAGAAAAATCAATAGCCTTTTTAATCTTTTCCCAAAGGTAGGGGGTGTGGTGAGATGTGGCTGTATTTGGCGTCTGTCATTTGGCTCAGACTCTCATCTTAATACAGAGTATTAAGTGAAATAACAATTTATATAGAAGTAAACTATTGAACATATATATCCATCTTTGGGAATACATTGTTACTGATTGATCAGAATATATTGCTGATTTCTTAGCTCAAGTTTGGAGTTATTTTTGAAATCTTTAGTTTGTTGTATTTAGAAGTACTGTCGAGGTAATTGAAATGATAATGATGTGTGAACACATGCATATGGTGAATTTTATTATGAAGAGTACAAGATAGTATTAATACTTAGAGCTCAAGACTTGAAAAGGACTGTTGAATATGAAAATACTTCCTGAATTAATGGCAACTCGTGAATCAAAATTATGTCAATAGTCATTCTGCTTATTCTTTTAAGAGTGGCCAGAAAGTTACCATTTTTCCATCCTTTTACTCTTAACCTATTTTTGTCTCCCTATTTAAAGTGGGCTTTCTTGAAGGCAGCATATTAGATCTTGCTTTTTTATCCTTTCTGATAATCTCTGCCTTTTAATTGGTGTGTTTCTGTTAGACTATTTACATTTAATGTGATACAGTTTGGTTTAAATCTGCCATCTTACTATTTGTTTTCTGTTTGTCTCTTCTGTTTCTTTTTCCCTTTTTTCTCCTTTTATGCCTTCTTTTGGATTAATTCCATATGTTTTTGTGATTTCATCTTACCTCCTTTGGCTTATTGGCTGTATATCTTCATTTTGCTAATTTAGTGATTGCTTTAGGGTTTGTAGTATACAACTTATCACTCGCTACGTTCTGATAATATTATACTATCTCACATACAGTATAAGAACTTTATAAAAGTATGCAGTTGACCCTTGGACAAAGTGGGGTTGGGGCATTGACCCCTGTGCAATTGAAAATCTGCATATGACTTTATGTGGTTCTGTATCCGTGGATTCAGCCAACCACGGATTGTGTGCTACTGTAGTATGTATTTATTTTTAAAAATCCACATATAAGTGAACACATGCAGTTCAAACCCATGTTGTTCAGGGCTCAACTGTACTTTTGTTTTAGCCATTCAGTTTTTGTGCTGTGATTGCCATAATTTTACTTCTTTATATGTTTTATTTAAATTCCACAATACATTTAAATTATTTTTTCATTAAACAGCTGGTTAGTTTTTAAAGGGATTTAAATATAAGAATCCTCATATTTACCCATATAGTTACTATTTCCAGTGCTCTTCATTCCTTCATGTGGATCCAGATTTCCATCTGTTACCATTTTCCTTCTGCTTGGAGGACATCCTTTAACATATTTGTTATGTGTGTGCTACTGATAAATTATCTTCAGCTGTTGTATATTTTAAAAGGTTTTTTTTTCACCTTTGCTTTTGAAATATAGTTTCACTGGGTAAAGAATTTTAGGTTGATAGTTTTTTTCTTTTAGTACTTTAAAGATGTTGCTCTAGTGTCTTCTGGCTTGCATTGTCTCTCACGAGAAGTCAGCTGTTATCCTTACCTTTGTTTTTCTGCGTGTGATGTGATATTCCTCTTTATCACTGGCTGTAAGCTATTTGATTATGGTGTGCCTTGGTGCAGTTCTCTTCGGGTTTCCTGAACTTGGAATTTGTTGAGCAGTTCTCTTCAGGTTTCTTGAACTTGGAATTTGTTGAGCTTCTTGAATTTGTGCGTTGTTGGTTTTCATAGAAATTGGGAAATTTGGGCCAATATTTCTTCAAAAACATTTACTTACCTCCCCTATCTCTCCTCTCCTTCAGGACTCCTATTATGTGTACATTAAACTGCTTAAAGTTGTTCCATAGCTCACTGGTGCTCTATTCATTTATTTTTAAAATCTTTTTTCTCTCTGTTTCATTGTGTATAATTTCTGTTGCTGTGTCTTCAATGTCACTACTCTTCTTTTTTCCCCCTGTAGTATCTAATATGTTAATTCTATACAATGTATTTTTTTTATCACAGACATGTTAGTCTTCATCCCTGAAAGTTTGATTGGGTCTTTTAAGTATTTCATTTGTTTTAACATGTTTAGTCTGTCTTCTAGCTTCTTGAACATACGAAATACAGTTTAATAACAGTTAATCCTTGTCTAATAATGCTTTTATCTCTTCAGGTGAAATGCTGGAACAGATCATAGGCCTCTCTTTATTGTTTCCCATTTCTGGAGGATCACTGTCTTTTTTTGCCTGATGTCCAATGTCTTAAAAATCATTTCACAGTTTTTTTCTGGTTTTGTTTTTAGTTTTGTCAGGCAGGGTGGTAAATATGATCCCTGGTACTCTATCTTGATTGAGAGTGAAAGTTCTATTTCTTTATTTGTATTGTTTGCTCTGCCCCATCCCAGTTAACCCCAACACAGAAGTCTACACTTAAACTTACACTTCAATAATTTTGAGCTTCATGAAGATAAGGATTACATGTGTTTTTGCTCATGATTATATCTTGAGTACATAAAGGCTTCTCAACACATTCTGTTGATTAAATGAATATATACATGTGTATGCAGTTACACTGTTGTGTAAGTAGACACACATGCATAATATATTAGTTAGGGATGTGCTAGCTTCTTGTAAGGTACCCCTAAATTTTAGTGACTTAATAGAAGTTCATTTTTATTCATTTAACACTTTAAAGCAAATGTTCATAGTTCACAGGCAATTCTTTGTGAAATAATTCGGGGATCTATGTTTGTTCTGTCTTGGATCTTTGTAATCTTTTAGAGTTTTATTATCGTATCTAACCAGTGAAGTGAAGGGAAAAGAAAACTTGGAGAAAGCACACCTGCTTCTAAAAAGCTTTGACTTAGAAGTGATACACATAACCTGTACCTACATTCCATTGGTGTGAACCAGTTTCATGCTGATACTTAAATGTGTGATGGGCTGGGAAATGTAGTCTTTGGTGGAGTAACCACTTACCAGCAACAAATCCATACTGTGTGTAGGGGGAGCAACCATGTGGTTATTGATTTTCAGGTGCAGGGATGCCAGAGGTGGTGATGTAGTCCTTCACTTGTTTGGCCTTCTGCAGGTCATTGCTGAAGAACAACTTTTGGTGGAATCCTGAGACAGAAGTTGGGTTTTAGTACATCACTTTTAAAATGTAGATTCCTGGAGTCTACCCCAGATTCTCTTGAAACAAAATTATTGTATTGAGCCTTGAGGATATGCATTTTCAATAAACTACTCTATTGATTCTTTTTTTAATATATATAAATTTATTTATTTATTTTTGGCTGTGTTGGGTCTTCATTGCTGCTAGCGGGCTTTCTCTAGTTGCAGTGAGTGGGGGCTACTCTCTGTTGCGGTGTGTGAACCTCCCATTGTGGTGGCTTCTCTTGTTGCAGAGCATGGGCTCTAGGTGCACGGGCTTTAGTAGTTGTGGCATGTGGGCTCGGTAGTGGTGGCTCGCAGACTCTAGAACGCAGACTCAGTAGTTGTGGCCTACGGGCTCAGTTGCTCCATGGCATGTGGGATCTTCCCAGACCAGGGCTCGAACCCGTGTCCCCTGCATTGGCAGGTGGATTCTTAACCACTGTGCCACCAGGGAAGCCCTCCTTTTTGTTTTTTAATTGAAGTATAATTGATTTACAATGTTGTGTTAGTTTCTGGTGTACAGCACCCTGTTGATTCTTATATTCACTAAAGTGTGAGACCTACTGATATAAGGTGTTACTTTCAACTTTTAATTATTCTTCCTTAAAAGAGAA